GTACTTGCATGACACTTGTTACTGATTGTGCCGGTACTGTCAGTACTGCCGTGTTCTAGCGATAGGCTATGGGAGGAGTAACTCAGTGCGGAAGTTTCCCGTGCAGTTCTGGGACATGGGATAATCGTCCTGGAATGATTGCTGGTAAAGTGTTCCCAAAAAATGTATGAGAGCAACTCACAACTGCGTGGCGCGCGGTACTTGAAGGTTTTCTACATGTGCTTGCTGATTTGGTGCTCTTTTATTGTAGCAACGGTTGCGAAGGCCCTACAGGCCCTACATGCACTGCACCAAACCACATAACTGGGACTAGGACCTCTGGTCCAGAAGGATATTATAGGAAAGCCATGAACTGCAGCAGGGCCACTGACCCACCGCATATGGGGGTTTACCAAAGTTATGGGGTACCTTTTTTGGGGGTCCCCATAATAAGGATTATATTAAATTTGGGTCTATATTGGGCTCCCTCTATTTTGGGAAACTACCATATTGCTTCATACTCTGCAGCCCGTGCAGTTTTACGTCTCTAGCCCGAAGGCTGCAAAGATCCATTGAGCCACAGGAAACAGGCATCTCTGTCATGGACATACAGCACTTGTGTTGCGTGTTTCGAATATGTGCAGAGAGGCTGCTCGCAATAGCATTGGGACGGCACGCCATTTCTTGATGAAAGGGGGGGCAACTAAACTGAAGGCATGGGGTGGGAAATTAGGGCCTCTGCAAATGGTGTCCTTTCTTCTAACAAAAATACTGAGAAGCATACTCGCGATGAACGTAGAGAGAGTCGTGCGTTTGATATAATGAATGTCCTCTTTACGAAACATCCTTCCCACGCATCTCAATATGCGGCAAGGCTCTGACATAAATAGGCCAACCATGTCTACTCGCGCTGCATATCCTCTGAATACGGCAGACGCCAAACCGGCAGTGTCGCCACTGCTCTTCCTAGAGCTAGTGACTCAAGTTGGGAAAAGCTACCAGTTTTATCTTTTCCTCGCATCGACCCATCTGCACGCCGAAAGGAGAGAATAAGTACAGAAGTGCCACCCACATTGCCTTCGCGGCGAGTGTATTCGCACCAGGAGTTGCCCAGGGTGTGGCGTTCGATGCCTCGGCATTAGGTGGCCTCTCAACGTTGTGGCTCCTTTTCGGGGAGCCCTATATGTTAGGACCTGTTAGGATCCCAGTATCTGTGTCCTGAAGGGCCACCGATGTGAAAAGCTGCCATGGGTTCGAAGGCTTTCGCTGCTTGTGGTTGCGTAAGACACTTGGTACCAGGATGTACCAGGGCTCTGCTCAATAACAGCCTGAATCAAATCAGCCGAGCGTTGGATCAGATGGCTTTGGACTGAATACAAGCCCCACTTCACGAGCACACAAAATCAGCCCCTAACCTGTTCAATCCCAGCTGCTTGGCGCCTCACTAGCGGGCGCGACAAGCACAACACGACCGCCCGGGCGAACTATGTGCAGCAAGGCGGCGAGAAGCCTCTGGCTACTGCTTGCCATATCGCTGGGCGGACTGGAATTTAGGGGCAACATGTTGCCTGAAGGAGAACAATGTAAGGTGACCATGCTGGCTCACCTGCCTTGGGGGGGGTGTTGGTTGGTTCCAGGCCTGGTGCAGCCAGTGAAGGAGTCAGGACCTGGCCTTGAACTTGTTGCGGTTCTCTTCATGGCCATTACTAAAACGCCACAAGTTCCATATATAACCAAACCAATTCCCCAGCCCCGAAATTATCCAGGAAGCCAGCAAACCTGCACAGCAATCCGTTGCTTCAAAAATGGCGATCCCTGGTAAATGACTGTAGGATGCTCGATTTTGTATGAATCGAGACCCACCAGCAGCACCACTTTGCGTCCAAGGCTCACATCTGAGTCCAAAATACTGATGCTCACGCCGAAGGGAAGCTCAGAGACTACCACGTCAAACTCACAGGAGGATTTCGCCCATCCCGCCACAGCCCTTTGCAGCATGTGGAAGCTTGAAAAGACTGGGTTTAGCAAGTAATTAGGGATTGAAGGCGTCTGGCCGAGCGGCGCGCGGCCTACGAAAGACAGAACGAAACCCCTGCAGCGACGCAGAGGCCGTCATGTAATCTGGATGTAGGATGAAGGCCAGGAATTACATCTACCAAGCTCTGCGCTGCTGGAAACGTAAAGCTCATACTTCTTTGACCTCACGCTCTGAACTCCTGACGTCCCTCATGCTCGTTCCATGGGGGCTGCCCTGTATGTTTTTATTACAACTTCAAGTTGCGTAGCATCTCCAATCATAAAGCTTGGAGGTACAGGGTCCGGCGTGGCCAAAGTTAAGTTTCATATACAATCCATGAAGCCTCAGAAGCCTTACCCACACTCTTTGTAGCTATATTCCGCGTGCACACGCGAAATACAACCTCCATGAGCATGTCCTGAATCCAAACACCCCTTCAAACCGGACATGCTAGGTTCTGCAGACACATGCATAGACGATGGAGCACAGACTAACGAGCGCTCTTGTCATAGCCCTTGAAAATGCCTACAAATTGACCAACAATGACAGACATTTGTTCTTATGCCACATGAGCTACTGTCTAAACTCCTAGTATCCCCCTAAATAACCCCTATAGTAGTCCCCTATAGAATCCCCCCTCTAACCCCCCTTTAAGGAGTTTAGATTATAGCTCACATGTTGTAAAAGGCACATTGAAACCCTGGCAAAGCCAGCAGGCCATTCAAATAATCCCTTTTAACTACCCTATAATCCCAGTTTCCATTTCATTTTCCATTTTCTTTTCCATTTGATTCTCCATTATTGGGGGGTAATGTCCCCAAATACCATAGTTTCCACTATCATAATACAACCCCAATACACTATAGTAGTTTCCATTTGCTTTTCCATTTTCCAATATAACCCCAATATACTATAGTAGTTTCCATTGTTAGCAGGCCTCTGTAGCACCTCCACCCTCGAGCCAGCTGCAAGCAGCCCCAGGTCAACGGCTGCAGCCAAATTAGCCTGGGTTGCTGTTAAGGA